GTGAGCAGGGTTGGGCGGGGGCAGGGGAGCAGGGGTGGGGAGAGAGAGGGAGACACAGAATCCAAAGTAGGCTCCAGGCTCCAGCTGTCAGCACAGAACCCCCATGGGGCTCGAACCCATGAGCAGCGAGATCATGACCTGAGCTGAAGCTGGACACTGAACTGACTGAGCCACCCAGGCGCCCCCACACTCTTGTGTTTAACACACTTCTCAGGGGATTCTGATGCCGGCTCCATGAATGAGAACCCTAAGTTTTTAAAAGCCACAGGGAACTACCCAGGCTCTTGCTGGGTTCTGAGGGGCTTTTAAAGGATGGCTATTCCCCTGTGATCAATAGAGGAAAAGGATAATCATGTTGGAAGGGGAGTAGGAAAGAGATACACAAACGTTACAGGAGTGAAAGCTGAGATCATTTTAAAAGGTCAATGGAGAGAAAACGACAAATGTTGCCCGTTTGTGTGGGACGGCTCACTCAACGATCAGAACAATTCTGATCAAGCCATGTCTGAGATGCAGTGCCCAAGCGACAGACAACAGACATCAGGACATGAGGAGAAGGTTTCTCAAAATTCAAAGAAATGCGAATGCATCAACAGTAGAAGTGCATTGGCTTCACGGACACTTGGAAAACGCTGGGCGTCTGTGGGCAGCGCTAGGGCTCTGAGCAGAACGCTGGCTCCTGGTTAGGGGGTTGCCACAGGATAGAGGCTCATCTGAGTCAGTAAAGCACTGATGCTTTGATCTGTTCAGACTAGAGCGTGCTCACCAGTTCTCCTGGACCAGACCGAGGGAGAAGCTAACTAAGTCAACAGCTTTTCCGTACAGATAAAACCGGTGCATTTTAGAAAAAAAAAAAAAAAAAAAAAAATTTTTTTTTTTTTTTTTAAGTGAGAAGGAGAGGGAGAAGGAGGGAGAGATGCTCGGGACTAAAGTGCATCCGCAGCAAGAAGTTATGTCATGTTTTAAACTGGTGAAGGACCAGTTCACATTCCCACTTAACAAGCTTAAAATCCGAGGCGTAACTTGGGCTCTACCAGCAAATGGATCCAGGAACCGTTCGTTGCTGACAACGAAATGCCTCCCCTGGAACTACTGTATAGTTGAAATTCAGCATTGAACATGCATAACCCACACCCTGCCCCTGAGATCTGGATTCATTCGATTTGGGGTGGAGCCCACTTTTTAACAAGCTCCCCAAGGGCTACCGAGGCAGATGGTTCTGGACCACAGAGCCATTTGTCATTACCAGAGGAGTGAGAATCAAAGCAGTACTGAGTGGCCGCATACAAACACTGCTGGGGAAAATGCAGTCTGAAACCAAAACACCCCCCCCCGCCAGAGCCCCAATTTAGCATTTGTTCCCACAGCACAGATCAGGGAAGTCAGCAGTAAATGAGTAACGTGTTATATAAGTTGCTTTTCTGTATGCAGAACCTTAATTCACCAACGAGAAGTTGAAATCATAAAAAAAGTAAGCCCGCCCCCAAAACAAATGCCGGGAAAGCGAAGCCAGGATCTCCCCATCGCCTTCTGCCAGGCAAAGATGAGCCCTCCATGGGGCTACAAACCCCCCGGGCTCACCTTGTGCCACAAGGAGCTGGATCCTTTGGTGGAGGTAGGGAGAGGGCTGACGCTCAGGTTTCCACATGGGCAGGGACACTGCCTTCATCGAGACTTTTCTCTGGTCGAAAACCTAAGTGGAGCCATGTTTTGCTTGACTACACCTCTGGCCCCTTGCTGACAAGTTCTGGAAGCACAAAGCCCCTCTGTCTTGAGTCTTATCTAAGAGCCCCAAACTGCTTTCTCTCTTTGGCAAGGATTCCCAGTCTTTTCCTTTCCCCAATTTCCCCAAGACCTACACAGTAAGCTAGTTCTAACTAGAATGTTAAAGGCTGACCGTGTTTGGAGAACTTATCAGCCCAATGACCACAGAAAATGTGAAAGTGGGCATGGCAAAGATATATCATGTGTATAAAATACATGTTACTGGGGCACCTGGGTGGCTCAGTCAGTTGAGCATCCGACTTCAGCTCAGGTCATGATCTTACAGTTTGTGGGTTTGAGCCCCGCATCAGGCTCTGTGCTGACAGCTTGCTCAGAGCCTGCAGCCTGCTTCAGATTCTGTGTCTCCTTTTCTCTCTGCCCCTCCCCTGCTCATACTCTGTCTCTCTCTCAAAAATAAATAAATGTTAAAAAAAAAAAATTTTTTTAAATAAAATACACATTACCTCTTCCAATGAGCCAGCCTCAGGAACCTTCTCAACACTGACATGGAACCATTCACTCTCAACTTAACTAGAGAGCAAACTAAGTTTCAGATACTTTTTTTTTTAAGTTTAGTTATTTATTTTGAGAGAGCAAGGGATAGCAGGGGAGGGGCAGACAGGGAGAGAGAGGCTCCATGCTGTCAGCACAGAGGACTTGAACTCACGAACCATGAGATCTTGACCTGAACCAATGTCAACAGTCAGACACTTAACCAACTGAGCCACCCAGGTGTCCCTAAACTGCAGGTTTTGGAGGCAGAAGTCCCTATCGTTTTATTGTGCTACTCCAAATGCCTAGCATGGTGGCTAACTCTTAGGAAGTGCTAAAAAAAGAAAAGAAAAGAAAAGAAAAGAAAAGAAAAGAAAAGAAAAGAAAAGAAAAGAAAAGAAAAGAAAAGAAAAGAAAAGAAAAGAAAAGAAAAGAAAAGAAAAGAAAAGAAAAGAAAAGAAAAGACAAGAAAAGACAAGACAAGACAAGACAAGAAAAAAGAAAAAACAAGAAAAAACAAGAAAAGAAAAGAAAAAACACTGAATTGACTTAAACTGACACCTGATGTGAACCTTAGTGGCCACCCCCATTTTACAGAGCACATTTCAAAATGCCTTAGAGTCACGTGGGGCTGCTTATTTAAAAACCCATCTTCTGGGCTAACCACCCCACCCTTGGTAAATCAGACTCCACGGGACCTTCATTTTTAACAAGGGGCCGGGTAATCTACACACATAACATTTGAGAGCCACAGCCCTAACCTTGCAGGGGAATCTCAAGGACACCAACACTAGGCAATGTGATCAAGAGAAAGAGCCCTTTGAGAACACCCAAAACAGAACACAACAGAGGCAGGTAGCCTCCTCCTCTCCACCCAGGCACGGGCCCAGGTGGAGAACGTTCAACGTCAGGGAAAAAAAAAAAAAAAATGAGGCCAGTAAGAGACCAGAGATGAGAAAGGTCTAGAGAAGCATCGTAGAGCCGAGGCCGGGATCTAACAAGGCCACCTTGCATCCCAGCAGGCTCATCCTTGGCCTTTCCCCCTGCTGGGGGGGTGGGGGGGTACCACGCCCCACCGGCAGATCGTAAACCAGAGGGCACCGACCAGGCCCATAGATGGAGGGCAACTTCGGAAAGTCGTGTGGAAGGAGAGGCCTACCTCCATCTGCCCTTCTCTCCGCGTCCGGCTTCCCCGCTTCCCCCTGCAGTCTGGCGGCTACAGTCCACGAGCCTTCCTCCCCCGTGCTGTTCCTCCCACTCCCAAGGCGGCCACATTGGAAGCAGGACAGGGGAACGTGCCGGCCGGCCGGGGACCCAGGAGTCACCCCCGGGTCCCCTGCACCCACACCCAAGGAGCCTCAGACTACCGGCCCGCCAGCCACCCTCCCCGAGCCGGGGAATCCCTCTCCCGCCGGCAGCTGTCGCGGAACGTCAGACACGGATGTTTATGCCAGGCCTCATTTACACAAGCCCACTCCTCCCCGAGAGATGAATTTTTAAAACAAACAGCTTTTACATATGTTAGCAGGCAGAGTCATGTCAGCATCAGGGATCCCCAGACGGAAACATGAGTCAATCTGGGGCAGACACTGCTAAATAAATCCTGTTTGGGTGAAATCCCTCTCTCTGGAGAAAGGCCTCAGATTCCCCAGCAAGATTCCCTCAAGACGCGGGGCTCTCTCTGCAGCGGGGCGTGCCCTGAGCACTCTGAACTCTGAAATCACCATCGCGCTGCTGGGCATCGGCTCCATCACCCCCTCCTGGGAGCGCTGCCAGCCCATCCCACCTGCGTCCTTTACCTTACTCCCACACACACTCTAGTTCCACCCAGGGCATCAGATGTCCCTGCTCGGTCGGGAACGGGTCGTCCACGCTTATGCCAAGGCTTAGGGTTCTGGCAGCTCAAGAGGGAAATGTCACCACCAAGGCACACGGATATCCGAGAAACGAGAGGGTGCACGAAACAGGTACAGATGGCCTGGCGGCCCCAGGCCACTAAGGCCCAGTCAAGGAGTAACTTCACCATTAAGGAAACGTCAGGCTTGGGAGCGTTAATGACCTTTTGCCTCCTCTTTCCTTAACTCTGCCTGTGGGGACTCGGTAAGAGAGAGGAATTCTGTGCCTTTGCTGTGCTGCTTCCAGGGTGGAGTAAGAAGGTGCAAACCCAGAGAATTAGCATAGGACGGGGTCAGGGCGCTCTCAGACCCACCCTGGACATGGGGCCGGAGCACCCATGCTAGTGATAGAGGAGGGGCAGAGGCTCCAGCTGAAGAAGTGGCATGGAGAAGTTCAAGGCCAAACTGGGTCTGAGAAGAGGGGCAGACCCCGCCTTTCTGGGCTACACGGTTTTGGGGGTGGGGGCTCAATGAGCTCGAAAGCAAAGCCTCTAGGAGGCGCGTTCTACCCCGGAGAGGCACTGGCCAGCCCTCCGGGGACACGAGTCTCAGGTCCCGGTGGGTGAGGACTTTGAGCTGCCCTCCAGAACAGGGGCTCTCGAGGGGTTACCATGGCCTTGGGTGTGTTCCAGTAGTAAGGGAGCGTCTGTGGCTTGGCCTTCACACATGCACAGGTGTCTGCAACCAGTGTGGGCCTATGACCAAGTGCACACGACTCTCGGCGAGCGAGCCGGAAGGGGAATGACCGCCTAGCTAAGAGTCGGGGTCTCAAGCACTCCCCCAGGCTGCATGCAAAGTGCCCGGCCACCACAGCCAGAAGCGAACACAAGACAAAGACAAGCCACGTACCGAGCCCGTTCTCTGCCGGTGCCGCGTGGTTCACACCACACTCCGCCAGGTCTTGCTCTCCGACGTCGTTCACATCCAAGCCAGGCTGATGGGAGCCGTTTCCAAAGTGCCTCTCGTCCTTCTCGGAACCGGCGTCCCCATTCTCCATCCCATTCTGAGCCTTTTTCAGCGGCATTATTTGCAAACCACTGGGGGTAGTCCTGTAAGACACCGTCTTGGCGGCCCTGTCACCTCCTGCGGGGGGCTTGGCCGAATACCCTTTCTTCGGCTTGGACAGGGCGGGGTTGATCCGCTTCCGTTTATGGGAAGTCCCTTTGCTCTTCCCAGACTCTGAAGGTCTGTGGGAGAGTTTCTCAACCGACGGGCCTCGGCCGTCACGCAGGAGCTTGGAGGTGCTGGCCTGCTTCCCTGACTTGATCCTTTTGTCCTTGGACACGTGCAGCCCGTTGAATTCGTCGATAAACTCCTCACAGTGCAACAGATGGTGCTCTGGCTCCCACGTGTCCTCCGTGCTGCCGTAGCCTTTCCACCGGATGAGATACTCCCATTTTCCCTTCTTGTTCTTCCTCTTGTCCACAATCCTTTCGACCTGAGGTACGAGATGAGAGAGTCAGGGAAGAGAGAGAAAAAAAGGGCGGAGGAAAGAAGTCAGGCCCAGGCAACAACCGCACAAAGCCCTGAGGACAGAGACACACGGGCCAGGGGACAGGCCGTTCAACGTCGGAAGCTGACACTTCCAGGAGCGTTCAAGAAGGCTGGTTTATTTTCGGACCTCACTGAATGGAACCAAAGGCACTCGGCTGTTTCCCATGACAACTGTGTGAGGCCATGCCTGGCTGGTGGCACCTGCCTGTCCTTCCAAGGCTTACTCTTGCTTGAAATCACAGCACGAGCTTTCACTAAAGATCTTTATTCTTTTCACTGCACTGAAGTAAAATCAGACGTTTGGAGACCAGTGCGGTGTGACTTTTTCACCCTTACTTATAGCGAGCAACATTTATTGAGCATTCACACGGTAGGCACTATGCTAATGTATCCTTATTTATAATAATAGGAACGATTAGTCACACTCATTGGAGTGACTAAATGCTGGGCTTGGACGCTCCCATGTCATTTTCCCCTCACAACAACCCAGTGCAGTCAGTACGGATTCGTTCTTATCCCCACTTTATACTTAAGGAAACAAGGCTTCAGGGAGATTAAGTCACTTAACCAAGTTCCAAGCTGGTGAGGGCAGAGCTGGGATCTGAACCACTCTTACCCCAGACTTATTTTCTTAATCACAGGCCAAACCAACTCTCTCCACTACAAAAATCTTCCATACTGATCAAAAATGACTTGCATCAACAAAACTCAACCCCCCCTCCCCACAACATGGAGGGTACAGCTGGTAGGCCAGGTGATAGGTAACACTAGCTGAGAGCCTATTATATGCCTTGCATAACCCCATGGGTGTAACTGCTGTTTTTCCTGTTTGATAGATGAAGTGATTGAGTATGAGGTAAACTGTCTACCAGGCAGGGCTAAGCGGTGGCAGAGGTGAGGTCTGAACCTCTATCCATCTGGCTCTAAAACTCTGTGCTAACTGTCCACATACCTTCAAAGTTATGAAAATCCCTGCCTTCAAGTAATCTCCCGGAAGAACACAGTTAGGAAAATGCCAGTCTTGATGCTAATAACTGGTCAATCCAGGGGAAGAGCAGTGAGGGTCCTTTACTACCCTGTCAACTTGACCCTAGATGTAAAATTCTTTAAACTTAAAAAAAAAAAAAAAAAAAAAAAAAAAAAAAAAAAAAAAAAAAAAAAATAACCGACAGAAAATACCCAATGCTCTACCCTAAAAAAGCTAAATTTCAGTGAAAAAATAAAACAACTACATTCAAAAAAATGAAACTACATCCAAAATCATGGGATTTTGACCCCATGAAATTAATAAGTGAGGAATATGTCCTTGAAACTCATGAAAAGAAAAACAAAGCGAGAAGGGAGAAATCAATACACGTATAGTCGATCATATTTCAAGATGGCTATCAAATACATGGGGGGTTCGCTATATGACTGTTTATGTTTATGTGTTTGAATTTTTCTGTTTAAAATTTTACATAATAAAAAGAAAAAATAACTTTGAAAAGACTGTCTCCCAATGGTTTATGTACAACAGAGGCTATGCAAAATAATTAAGCGATGTTCATTGCTTTGCACTTAATAAATATGCAAATAGCTAGGCCATGCTGCCTCTTCATAATACTGTTTCTTTAGAGACAATTTAAATGGTTTCCTTAATTGATTTATCTACGATCAAATTGGCCTATTTCTATTAAAACTCCTTTCCTTACAAAATGCTCTGTGAACATCTGTTTTAGATTCATTACATAATTTTTAGATGTATCACACAAACTCTGTAACAGTTTAAAAAAGTAAAACCATGCCAAACTAATCCAACTCCCAATCTTTGGATCGAGGAACGGGACTAGTGGAGTATTTATTTGTGATAATGCTTCAGAAAGTCCAGAGTATTTCTGGAGGAGCCTGCACCTTTGCACTTTGGGAGGTCTTTGGAGGGGGAAACCCTCTGCAGGTTTACAGAGGGAACAGGGAATAAGCAAGCTGGCACTGCCTTGAAAGAGCAGCATTCCCAAGAGCACCAGCCTAGGAGTATCAGGAGTGAGCCCAGATACTTCTTAGGAGCTAAGGGATTTGTGCTGGCACGGAGGTCTCCAGCTTCAGAAAATATATGGAGAACACTCCTTCCCCAGGACAAAGCAGAAAACCATGTTAGACAAAGAGCCAACACGATGGATAGGCGGGTGGGTGGATGCGTGAAAATGGATGGCTGAGTGGATGAATGTATAGATAGGTGGATCACGGGATGGATGGATGGAAGGAAGGAAGGAAGGAAGGAAGGAAGGAAGGAAGGGAGGGAGGGAGGGAGGAAAGGAAAAATGGATGGCTGGCAGAGAGATGAACACATGGGACGGGTGGATGACAAAAAGGACAGATAAATGGACAGATGACTGGCTGGATGGGTGAAAGGTGGGTAAAGAGATGAGTTCAGAAATGAATGGGCAGATGATGGATGGCACTCACTCATCAAAATGAGCTTAGCATAGTATTTAAGAACACAGGCTGTGGAACAACACTATCTGGTTTAAATCCCCTGGTAAGCCTTTTATTATGTGTTCTTGAGCAAATGAAACTTCTCTGGGCCTCAGATGACTCACCAGGCAAGGGGGAAATAATAGCACCTATCTCACAGGGTGGTTGTGGAGAATATACAAGTAAGTAGTTTTGCATTCCATAGTAAAGGTCACTTAATCTTGCATATCCTCCTGTGAATACAAATCTTGGTGGTATCTAAAGACAGAATGTTTCCTCACCTTGCAGAATACGACCCCCCTAAGGATAACCAACTCCTGCCTGAAGAGACAGTCAACCTACTTGCATAAGTCCTTCCAAGTGTGGGAGATGGCTGTGCAGAGCAGTCCTGCTCGAGAAGCCTGGGGAGTTGCAAGGGTGCAGGGTCTACACGGCTACCGAGGCCCACACTGTGAGTGGGGGGCTTGGTTTCTTCCCTCCTAGTTACCGGAAGACTGAGTCACAGAGTCACAAGTGGGTCTGCCTCCACCTCTGGTCCCATCCACAAAGCCACTGGGTGCCTTGACAGCCATTTCTACTTAAAATTAACCCAATACCAACAACAAATAGTATTAACGGGATCATCCCGAATAGTCTGATGTGTGTGGGGAAACTGTTGGCCCTGCCATTTTCTATCCACATGACCCGCACAAGTTGCCCAACTTCTCTGGGCCTCAGTCTCCCCATCTGTAAAAGAGGTACACAAAATGAACCCACTTTTTCTGAAAGACGAAAATACCCACCGGGAGCTCAGAGGAAAGCTGGCTCCAAATTTCCCATCATACTTGGAATCTGCAGTCTCCTAGGACCGAATTTCCTTCCTTACATCCCTGTATAGGTTCTCTGACCCTCTTTTCCACTTCTTCCCAGGAGAGTCTCAAACAGAACCAGAATTCTAATCTGTGCTGGTGATAACAACGGCCACGTTATTTAGGACTTGATCTTGCTCAGGTTCCGACAGTCTCTGGGGAAATCCTTTCTTTCCCCTTACCCTCTCCCAGCCTCCTCTGCTGACCCCTAACTCCTCACACCTGCTGAAAGCACGCATCTGGGCCTCCAGGTCTCAGCAGCGCTGTTCCTGAGGCACCACGCCCACCTTACCTGCCCTGCACTACCTGAAGTTCAGTCCCTCCAGATGGAAACAATCATCAACTCCCTCCCCTTGGAATGAGTAACAAACACATGAACGGCATTAAAACCTTGTATGCTCACACACACACCCACTGGCTCCTTTCTTTCAAAGATAAGCAATCTGAGACCCTGAACTGTTTCTTACAGCTCAACCAAATCATTAATTACCGTTTACTCCCCGTGATCCCAGCCAGTATGAGACAATATTCTACCACAGGGGGAAGTGGCAGGGGGGGATGGCAGGGAACTTCCAACGCACTTATTACCACTGCCAGGATGTTGAGCGGATGGCTGTCTCGTTAGGAATGATAATGATGTTAATCACCTTTATTGGTACGTGCTGTTCCAGGAACTGTGCTAAGCACTCATGAGGTTTTAGACTCGATCTCTGCACCCAGGCAGGCAGCTGGACATTATACTCACCCTTTGAAAGGTGAGAAAACTGAGTCTCAGAGAAGGTAGGAAACCTTCCCTCGATCACACAGTCAGTAGGGGGTTAGCCAAAATTGGAATTCTAGTTCGTCAGACCCCTCAGCCCAAGTCCTTGGCCCCCTGGCCACACCTCGCCCCTGGGAAACCATCAGGCTAATGGGAGACACAGCCCTTAAATGAACGAGCGTGAAGTAACACATGACGGTAACAAATGATGATGAAGATAATGTCACGCGGGAAACAACAGCGGAGGGAATGGGGTTACTTCAGATCAGAAGGGTAGCAAGACTCCTCTGAGAAAGAACGATTTAAGCTAACACCAAAATGGGCCTTCAGAGGTGGAGAAAATCTGAGCTGGTGAAGTGAGGGGACTTTCCAGGCAGAAAGGAGAAAGGTCCCTCCCCACCTTCCTCTTCAGCCCTCTGCTAGCAGGCCAGTCGAAAAACACCACCACCCAACATTTATCCAGAATTGACGAAATGCCAGCCACTTCTGAAAGTGATCCCCATAGACTGACCATATGTTATATATGTGAACTCATTTAATCTTGAAAATAACCCAACAAGGCAGGTAATTTCATTCTCTTTTTTTAATGTTTATTTATTTTTGAGCGATAGCACGTGCCAAGGGGCAGAGACATGGGGACAGAGGATCTGAAGCAGGTTCTGCACTGCCAGCACAGAGTCTAACACAGAGCTCAAACTCATGAACCATGAGATCACGACCTGAGCCACAATCAAGAGTTGGATGCTTAACAGACTGAGACACCCAGTTGCCCCTCTCTCTCTTAAAAAAAATTTTGTTGAATGTTTATTTATTTATGAGAGAGAGAGAGGGAGATTGGCAGAGAGAGAAGGAGACACAGAATCTGAAGTAGGCTCCAGGCTCTGA